GGCCGTAGTTTGCCCACCCCTGGTCTAGCAGAATGCTAATAGACTGTGCACTTTGGCCATGGAAATTCATTGCTTGACTAGTAAAGTATTTTGATTCAGAGACAATGACTCAAAGTGCTTGAAAGAAAGGATCCTAGAGGAGATAGACTAGACTAGAATATAGAATAGAATTCTTTATTGGCCAAGTGTGATTGGACGCACAAGGAATTTGTCTTGGTGCAGATAGTGTAACAGAATGGAGCTGGAAGATTAAACTGAATATACATTAAATTACACAAGTAGTGTTTCTCGTTTAAGCAAGCCTCTTGTTCTTGGCTGCAAAAGAGTTAATACAGCATTGACCTGAGACATAACCACAACTCTACTCACATTTACACTTAACTTGTGTAGTTAGTCGCTTCATGTACTGTGCCTCGTCTTAATTTTTTAACAATTCATACTTGATGGCAGTAGACGGAAAGTGCACCTGGGGAGATATCCTTTCCCTACAGAGAAAGAGCCACTGGTTTCATATGTATTAGGGCCAGGTACCTGAGAAAAATCATTGTATGATCAGAAACGGTCCATTTAGAAACATGTACTTGATTAGAAACTTGATTTTAGCAATTTTGCAGTGATTCAGTTTATGTGTATGTGTGTGTTTGAACATGTCATATTTATATTGCATTTTCATATTTCAATTTACCTTGTACACTTAACAGTCAACATAAAGTCACTTAGTAGGGAACCATTTCATCAGGTCATAGTAGAAGAAAAGAATGAAAGAAAGACCAATTTATCTACTCTGCTGATATACCTTCAGCTAAGGGGTGGGATTCTACAGGTTTGCACCTATTCACTAGAACCGGTTGTTAACATTCTAAGCAGTTCGGAGAACCAGTTGTTAGAAGAAATTACTGGCCTAATCCTGTAAGGAAGGCAGGAAGGAAACATTCTGGTGTTGCTTACAGAAACTGCCTCTCCATTAACCCTTATTACATTCTTGGCAGGACTAGACTTCCTGTCTCTGGAACTTCTCTGGAGTTTTTTCCCCCTCCTTTGCTGGTACTTTGCTTGTGTGGAGTGACCATTCAAAGTTACAATGGCACTGAAAAAAGTGACTTATGATCATTTTTCACACTTACGGCTGTTGCAGCATCCCCACGGTCTTGAGAGACCAGGCGAGGAGATATGTGCCTCGATGTGAGTGATATTGAGTTGGCCACGCCCAGCCAATAACATGACCACCAAGCCACACCCACCAACTAAGCCACACCCACAGAACCGGTTGTTAAAAAATTGAATCCCACCCCTGCTTCAGCTCTTAAAAAAAACTTCCTTTTATGACCCTGTAGTACCTATTTGGGATAGAGTCAGGCTGACTGGATGGAACTGAGTGTTTACTGGCTGAATACCCCTCCTGATGCCTATGTAGAGTTTGCAGCAGATATTTTCTCTTTGCATCCTTTTTGCATTTGCTGCTACTAGGATTGAGGATCTCAACCTTCTGAGTGGGAGGTGAGAGTCTTCACCACTAAATTCTATTTGATTGTTGATGTTTAATAAATGTCATACAACTTTTAAAAAGTGGTGCCAAATCTGAAAATGTAGGCTTGGGTTAACATACTGTAAATTTTTATTTTCTAAATTTTTGTTTGCTTTGCTTAAACAAATTATTGTGAAGTATCATTTGATTCCTAATTCATACTCACTATTCTTACTAATCATTAAATATTTGTTTGATTTTAATATGATCTGGGACAAAGCAAATGTTTCTTTAAAAAAATCTTTTTAGCTAACCATATACAGGTGAAACTCGAAAAATTAGAATATCATGCAAAAGTTCATTTATTTCATTGATGCGACTTAAAAGGTGAAACTAATATATGAGATAGATTCATTACATGCAAAGCAAGATATTTCAAGCCATGATTTGTCATAATTGTGATGATTATGGTTTACAGCTCATGAAAATCCCAAATCCACAATCTCAAGAAATTAGAACATTACATGCAATCAATAAAACAAGGATTGTACATAGAACAATATCGGACCTCTTAAAAGTATAAGCATGCATATGTACTCAGTACTTGGTTTGGGCCCCTTTTGTAGCAATTACTGCCTCAATGTGGTGTGGCATGGAAGCTATTAGCCTGTGGCACTGCTGAAGTGTTATGGAAGACCAGGATGCTTCATTAGCAGCCTTCAGCTCTTCTGCATTGTTCGGTCTCATGTCTCTCATCTTTCTCTTGGCGATGCCCCATAGATTCTCTATGGGGTTCAGGTCAGGCGAGTTTGCTGGCCAATCAAGCACAATAATCCCATGGTCATTGAACCAGTTTTTGGTGCTTTTGGCAGTGTGGGCAGGTGCCAAGTCCTGCTGGAAAATGAATTCAGCATCCCCATAAAGCTCGTCTGCGGAAGAAAGCATGAAGTGCTCCAAAATCTCCTGGTAGATGGCTGTGTTGACCGTCAACTTAATGAAGCACAGTGGATCCGTCTGTGTGTGATGGCTCTTGATGCGCTGACTCCAGCCTCAGTCCACTCCTTGTGAAAGTCCCCAACACTTTTGAATGGCCTTTTCCTGACAATCCTCTCCAGGCTGCGGTCATCCCTGCTGCTTGTGCACCTTTTTCTTCCACACTTTTCCCTTCCACATAACTTTCTATTAATGTGCTTTGATACAGCACTTTGGGAACATCCAACTTCTTTTGCAATTACCTTTTGAGGCTTTCCCTCCTTCTGGAGGGTGTCAATGATGGTTTTCTGCACAACTCTCAGGTCAGCAGTCTTTCCCATGATTGTGATTCCTACTGAACCAGACTTAGAGACCATTTAAAGGCTCAGGAACCCTTTGCAGGTGTCATGGCTTAATTAGCTGATTAGAGTGGGACACTTTGAGCCTAGAATATTGAACCTTTTAACAATATTCTAATTTTCTGAGATTGTGGATTTCGGGTTTTCATGAACTGTAAGCCATAATCATCTCAATTATGCCACATCACGGCTTGAACTATCTTGCTTTGCATGTAATGAGTCTATCTCATATATTAGTTTTACCTTTTAAGTTGCATTACTGAAATAAATGAAATTTTGCATGATATTGTAATTTTTCGAGTTTCACCTGTAATGCTTGTAAATCCCCTTCCTGGTTATCTTTCTTACTCTTTTCTTTCTTCTTCACCAATGTCTTAAATATCTAATCAAATATAGAATACAAAAATAAGTACAAGATAAAATAAAATAAAGATGAGTACCTGAATTACCCTGTTTCTTCTGCTCCCCACACCCTTCTCTCCTGTAGAATACATTAAAAGTTTTAAATTTAAAAGCAGATTTTTTCCCCACAGATTGCATAAAGCATCTGAATATCTTTTCTGGCCAAGCAGCAAAGTAAAATAAAAATACCATAAGTAAACAAACAAATAAATAAATAAATACATCTTTCAGTTTTAGATTCCAATGCATATTCCAGTTACTTTGAGTAATAGAAAAATAGTCTATGCCATAATACAATGGATTAAAATGTGAACAGGTACAAAGAGAAATAGTCTATGGAAAATATCAAGTCTATGGAATAAAACTCTTATATGGGCTGGTTTGTTTCAGAATTAAGTCTTGGTGTCTGTTATTTATAATATTTTTAAAAATATTACACATTGATCACTGAAGGATTAAATATATCTGTATAACCATGGTTATATGCAGTATTGTCTTTAAAAGCACTTCATAGGTTAGTTTACAATATTATATAGCAACTTCTTCACAGTAGCATCTGTCTCACGGTATTTCCTCTTAATGTAACTGACTCCATTTGGCTGCCCTTAAAAAGTTTTTAAAAGATTCTTGTTCTCTCTGGTTTTTAATTGAAATGATTTTGTGGCATTTACTGATATTTCTATTTCTTAGCTTTAAATCTTAAGCGTTATAAAGATATACAATAGTTCTGAATGGGGCCTACCTGGTATAAGCAACAAGCAAGATTTCAGCTAATGTAGCTTTAACCAGGGAGAGGAATTAGATAAAGTATGATCTACAAGTCATTGAAATGCCATTAGACGAGAGTTTGTCCACCACTTCTTTTTTTTTTAAGCAAACTTTATTAGTTTTTTTTTTACACACACAAACAAAGCATAGGATGTAGTAACATAAAATATCTTTTCTAGAAGAAACAAATAAACCATCTTATTTAAAAAGAAGATAATTCCAAATTATCACACTTCTATAATTTAATATATATATTTATCTTATCTAATCAACTTCATATCTTTTCGAAACTTCTCTTTATTACTCCCTTTCCTTCTATTTAATCATATTTCTTCTGCCTTGAAATTGTATACTCATTGAATATATTTTCATTAGTGTTCTTCCACATCCTGTCAGACTTAAACAAACATTAC